CTGTTGAGCAGCAAGCCCTTGTGTTCCTCATCAACCCTCGGAGCGGGAGGTGATGCAGCTTAGCCCATGTGTTGGCCCCACACAGAACAAGCCCATTTTAGACTGGTTATGATGGAAGCAGAGACGTGCTGTGGACAGGCACAGCTTGATCCTCTGATCTGTGGCAGCCCGGAGGCGAGCATCTTGCACCAAGGTTCATTTTTTTGGACCCCCTGCGGCTGCAGATGGATGAGACGTGCTCTGAGCGGCAGCGTGTGGGAGGCTGGGCAGGAGGTGCCTTCCCCACTGGCTGCAGCGTGCCGAAGCACACGCATTTTGCACAAGCACAGGGCTACTTTTGTGTGCTGCGGGCAGAAAAGGATGGGTTCGGTCCCCATTTTTTTTTAACGTGCTTCAGCTTCCTGCTGGCAAAATACGTGGGGTCAGAATTTCAGCTGCAGGACGAGTACAAAGAGCACGTCAAGTCTTCCTTTAAGCAACTGCTCTCTAAAATGATACATTTTTCCGGAGTATAATGAGGCAGGAGCCCCATCCTGCCAGTTTCAACCAGTCGTCTCTTGCCCTGTATGTTCTGTACCAAGAGGACTGAGCTTCTCTGCACTATGTGGGTCATTGAGTTCAGGGGTGACTGGCAAATTCACTCATTTGTGGTAAGTTTGGTGCAGTGGTTAATCACATTCCCTGTTGTTCATGCTCTTCATGCTGGAGGACTTCTCCCCCCACAGCTGGCCAGAAGCAGGATGGCGAGGTTTTGTTGGGAGGTAAAGCCATTGACAGGACTGTGGTTTGTGCCCTTTTCTTCCTCCAGAGTGTGGTGGGCTCTTGAAGGCTGAGGTTCAAACTAAGGACCTGTATTCCCATGCTCAGTTTGGGGACAACAACTACCCAGGTCAAGCCAACTGTGAATGGGTGATTGTAGCTGAAGACGGTTACGGGGTGGAGTTGATATTCCAGACCTTTGAGATTGAGGAGGAGGCCGACTGTGGGTATGACTACATGGAGATTTATGATGGTTACGACAGCGGTGCACCACGCCTGGGACGCTTCTGCGGCTCGGGGGTAAGCCATGGCGGTGGGGATTTCAGAGGCATAACAGGAGGGGGTGAGGAAGGGTACTCACCCTGTTTGGACAGGGGCAGCTCTCAAACTGGTGATGAGAATGCCTTGGTATTTAGAACTAGAGGTTCTATGTTGAATTTCTCTAGGACTTCAGCAGTGAAATGGAGAAGGCTCTTATTGCATTTAAAGGGAGACAACCTGGGAGCAGATGTGTCGGAGCAGTCCTTGCAAACTGGGGAAATGGGGTGGAAAATAAACAAAGGCAGAGCAGCTTGGTGTGAAGTTCAGGGCAGCAGGGCAGTAACCCACCTGCCTGCACGCTGACAAATGGAGAATGGCTGGGAAAGCGTTGGTCCGGCCGAGAAGCACGTGGAGGTTGTAGTGGGTCACAGCGGTGGGGGAGATAACCAGAGGTATCATGTAAGATACATGGCTAAGCTGTTTAGCTGCCATTGAACCCTGGGAGAGGCTCAGCTGCCCCACAGGGTCCGGTCTGAATTGTGCCATTTCCTGAAAAGATGAGGACAAATTGGAGAAAACTCAAGACGACTTGAACAAGAACATCCAGGGAGTCCCGTGAATGCTCACCTACAGAACACAACTGGAAGAACTGGGATTGTAGAGTGGGCTGGCACCAGCCTTTGAACATGAAGGGCGAGCGTGCAAAGAGCAAGGGAATGTGCTCAGGAAGCCAGAGCAGGGCAGGAGGTACTGAACGCTCAGTGTTTGGGTGTCCTGACCAGTCCCTCCTCACTCGGAGCTTAAATTCTAGCATCATCGCGCAGACAGTTATTTAGCCTACAGCCTTGACCACTCTGTGCTGTCTTTTTTACTTTTCCGCAGCCTCTGGAAGAAATCTACTCTGCAGGGGACTCCATCATGATTCGATTCCACACGGACGACACCATCAACAAGAAAGGCTTTCACGCCCGATACATAAGTACCAAATTTCAGGATGCCTTGCACATGAGAAAGTAGTTTGACTGGCCCTCGCAAACATACCCATCTGAAGATTGAGACATTTAACTGTGATCTTTGTCTTTTCTTTTTTTTTTTTTTTAAGGCTTCTGTGCACCTGGCCAAAAGCAATGTACAGTTTTTTCTGTAACTAAAACTAAATCCAGTCTCAAAGGTTTGCCTCTGAAATTATTAGCATGACCCTTTCTTGTTAATGTGCCCAGGGCCAAAAATTGTCTTCTAATTGTATGTACCAGGGCATAAACAATTGTATTTTGCACAGCTTGCCACGGGGCTGAGCGAAGACTGAGCTTGAATTGAGAAAAGCCTTCGTCTCGTGCATGTCGTGTTTCTAGGTGACATCTCCTAAGCATCCTGTACACACGAGCTGTCCGAACATGTTTTCTGGAGCGGATGATGTGGACAGTCACTCGGTACGATTTTCTCAAAGGACCTTGGGAGCCACCCGCTCTCCCCTACCAGCCCAAAATACTCCGTGCAATAAGGGAACAACCAGATGGCTGGAACTCCATCGTTCCTTCTGTCTCATCTATTTATTGTCTTGGTGATTGTGGGTTGAGAGCTAGGCAGGGGCGCGGGGACAGTCTCTTTAGGGCTGCTGGCTACCTGGATCGTGGTGAAAGAGAAGGGCCCGGTGCCTGGTTTGCAGTAATTGTCGTGGTATGTGTTGAATGGGAGTACTTTGATGCGGCGGCCAAGGGAGGGGTGGTGGCTGGCAGGGAGGTGCTGTGGTGGGATGCGAGGCATGACCGGGCGATGATGGCAAAGCTCAGCAGCTCCAGTGCTGACGGTGCGCTCCAGTTACAGCACCCGGCGAGGCAGCAGGCCAGGATGTATCTTAAATAAGGAATCTCTTCCTCACGCCGCCCATGTTTGCTTTCTCAGCCTTCTTTACGCTGCTCACTTTCCTTAGTCCCGCTTCCCTGCGAGCTCCCTGCTGCAGCCTCGGAGTGCTCTCCAATGTCGGCTGCCTGGAGCGTCTCGCCGAGGGGAACGCTGACCCAGGGATAGTCGAGGTGTCCCTGAGACAGAGGGACGCAGACCGTGCTGCTGGTCAGTGCTGGTGAGTTCCGGGAAGCCATCACACATGTGCAAGCTCCAGGTACCGGACCGGGAGCAGGAGAGCTCTGCTGGTGTCTGCTCCTTCCCCGTTCCTCGCCGGCCCGTGGCCCAGTCTCTTGACTTCGTGGCAGGGGTGCAAGCGAGACTGTCACTTAAGCACTTTGAGCGACGAGGCTCAGACATGCTCTGTGTCGCAGTTATTTATGTACGTGAAAGCTACCGAGCCACGGGCTTGCAGAACTAACGGGTAGCTTGGCACTTCTTTGGGAAGAAGTGGGGAAAACGGTGCTTTTAGGGGCATCACAGTAATTGAGCTGTTGATACAGTAAGGAAAAAAAAGAGAATTAAAAAAAAGACTTTATTCTGAATGATATTTCATTAAGGCACTCATGGGCAATTATGATCTAAAAGCCGAGGTGTGTTAGCTTTAATAAAGTATTTATAATCCAAGGATTACTATGTTTACATAAGCAATGTGCTGTCGGGCTGGGGGGTGACACCTCCTCTCTGGTGTACGGCTGCGGAGATGCATGGGGCCCGCGCCGCTGTCAGGCACAAACAATATTCCTGGAGGAGAGAGCATTCCCGGACAGAGAATAAATAGACCCAGCCCTCTCCAGAAGTCCTTGAACAGAATACGGTCCAAGTATTGCGAATACTAGGAGAAGCAAGTGCTTAGAACAAGAAAAATAAATTAATTTATACATACAAACACATGCAAGGTCATATGTATATAAAACGTGCATGTAGAAGACCAGTAGTCAAAGCCTTAACAAGTGTCATGTGAACAACAGTCTACCACTGACTATAGCTTTATTGCAGGCTCCATAAACCCATGTTGTTTCTGGTTTGGTTTTCTAGCTCTGTTTTGTTCCTCTTATCAAATTTTGTGGCCTTTTTACAGGCACGACCTCTGATCTCAAGCTGTTTGACCACGCAGGTCTGGGGAAGTGAGCTCTGCTGGGTGGGATCTGTATTTGTCCTTCTCTTCCTTGCCCCTCTTCAGGCAAATCTCAGTGACTCGGGTCTGGAAATAAAGGCGTGACCCTGGTCCCTGAGAAAAGGAAGGAGAGTTTCAGGTGGCAAGCAGCGGTGCGGGGTTCCTGGCTTTCTAATGGGAGCGGTGACTCTGGAGAGAAGTGGCTGCAGGAGCGTTCCATGTACTTTAACGTCTCTGTTCCGTGTTCTGGTAATTTCCCATCTTCCCCAGAGCTGCTTGCAACGTGGTTTGATGGATCTGCTGCGCTTGGTAGCGTTCATGCAGGTGTCTCTGGTGACAACTGTTCTGCTGCTCGTTTGACCAATGATCTGTGTGGAATGTTTCTGCTGTACTGACTGGGCTGAGCAGTCAATAATTCCAAATGTGTGAGAGTTTCTTCAGAAAAAAAGTCAGACCCTCTAAGGTGTGCATACGTGTTCTGGTCTTTGTGTGGTTTTACATCTCACTAGCTAAAATCACGAATGTACCTGTGCGCAGAACGAGTCTCTGCGTTCGTTAAAGACTCTGGCTTCGGTTGTGTGCATGCATTTAGCACTTCGTCGCAGGGAGGAAATTTCTTAATACACTCCTTGTTCTGCCAGCTGTTGTTTGTGTCTGCTGCGTACACTGGGTGGGATTTGCTCTCTGCAGGGAGAGAATTTCCCTGGAGCCTTTACCTTTGTCTTGGCTGTTGCAGTCAAGAGGGCGTTTGGGAAGTGGGACAGAGGAACAAATTGATCGACCAAGGGGCCACATCGTTGTTTTGTGTTCTGCGCTCACGCTTTAGTGGGCTGAGTTGCAGATCTGCAGCGATAAACATGAGGGATCTGGGAACTCGTCCATAAGTAGACTTCAGAAGCAGAGGCTCGTTCACTACGCTGCAGGGTCTGGCCTTCAGCAGCAGGTCCCAGAGATCCTGGGACTTGGAACTCCTGTGCAAGGACAGCAGGATGAGCATGGGGCAGATGTTCCTCACTGCAAAGCTGTGGTCCGCACTCATTGTGGCAGAAAAATGTTCAGTAGCTAGGCAGCACCTGAAATGCTTTTCTTCCTCTTTCTGTCCCTGCTTGATGTCTACCCTGCTGGCTAAAGGTCATGGCTGTCTTCTTTCAGCAACATATACCCATTTCACGCGTGTCCCACCACCCAGAACATGTCCCATGGTGTGTGCCACAGCCACTCAGACCTTTGCGGTGACTGGATTTCCTCCCAGCTGCTTCCAAAGGCGAAGCAGCAACGGAGATGAAGTAAGGAGTAAGCATCCCCAGGCAGCTGCTTCCTGCACCAGAGTGTCGTGGCACAGTGTAGCCCTGGAATGGGCCTGGAGGCTGACAGTCAGGTCGCTGGGTGGACATCATTTCCAAAACCGGGGCCAGAAGCCTTCAGTCACACAGAGTTACTGTCCAAAGCAATGCTGAAATATTAAAAATGATGCAGCCCGCGTGAAGCTGGTGGGAAGCAGGAGGTAAAATAGAAGGTGGGATGTGAACTGGAGTCACCGCTGTTAGAGAAACACGGAGACCTTTTCAGCTGCAGAGAGACAGGTTTTTAACGTGTGTATGATCCATCTGTTGTATGCGTCAAGGTCTGTCGCAGGCTTACACCTTCCCTGCTGTTCAACTACTGTGCTCCCTGCATGTCTCGTTCCACGTTGCCTGTCTTCCACCAGTACTGTGGGATGTGGCCAGTACTCATTTTCTCTGCTTATTCCTAGAAACAGGACTTCATTTTCCAGAAAGCACCCGAGGACCATCCAGTCACCATGTGTGGGAAGCTGAAGGGAATATCCGTTGTCTGCCAGGAGATTCTTTGTCTTTTAAAAACGCGAGTGCCCGGTGGTGCGGTGCATTTCAGACGGAGAGCGATGCCTCGGACCGGGTGGGCTCGCTGGTCTCGGCGTCAAGCCAGCAGAAATACTCCACTTTCTCCTGGGGCTTCCGGGAAACGTGCTCTGGCCAGTGAGGCACGAGCCTCGGAAAGCAAAAGCAGGATTCCCCTCATGCTAAACATGCTCTGGGAGCCGGGAGCGGTTCTGTTTGCTGTGGGGCTGGCAGGGAAGAGGCCAAGTCCCTGGTGCCCTGCAGCCCAGCTCCCCGGGCACGTGCCAGACCCTGCCCTGGCTCTATCAGGAGCGCTGGGACCCAGCCAGGCTGGCTGAGTCAGCCCGAGAGAAATGCCATCGTCCCTTCCTCTTTGCAGGTCCACAGTTCGGTTTTTAGCAGGAAGAGAAACTCGTCCCAAAAAGGAGCGGTGACCCCGGCGTCAGGCAGTCTGCTGGGGACACGGGCAGGGGTTTCTCGGGGAGAAGAGCGAAATGGTGAGTGGGAGCTGTCGTGTCTGGTCGGTTGGGGCTTGTTTGGATGGCAGTAGCAGGGGGAGGTCAGCGGACCGCTTAGCTGTTGGATGGAAAGCTCTCTGGGAGCCTTTAACCCTCCTGTTCTCTGCCCCGACCAGATCGATCAAGCTGGCCCCTTCGTTAGCTCTGCATTCCCCTACAGTTCAACCCGTGGTTTCAGACACCTGCTTGGATTTCAACATCTGCCCAAGCTTTTCTGTCCCAGAGGTATCGCCTGGTTGTAGGGCAGTTGGAGTGAGGAGGGGTCTTGTGCCCTGGATCGTGCAGTGGACCCTTCTCGAGGAGATACCTGTCCGGGGAGATGGGACCCATGGAAACGCACACGTTGTCTGTTTGGAAACGGCCCTGTGACAGAGCCTGGGAGCAAATCCTCCTTCCTCCCTGTAGCTAGCTGGCTCTGAGGCTAAAGCAACGTTCTCCTCTGAAAGATAATAATGAAATAATTCCATGAGCGTTCACTGAATGCGTGCTCTCGGAGGAGCTTGGATCGACAGCAGAACTAGGAGAGCGCAGCACAAAGTTGCTTGTTAACGGCATGCAAACAGAAGCAATAGATCACAGAATCCCAGAATGGTCGGGATTGGAAGGGCCCTCTGTGGGTCA